ATGGTCTAAACCAGAATAGAGCTGTCACGATATATTGTAGTATCGATAATTGTGATACTTTATCTCACGATAAATATATCGATACTTTTTCCCATATCGTGATATGTTTGGCTGACCTTAAAATTGTTAATTTCACAAGAAATTGACGGTTATGTCAAAATTTACACTGTTGCTTGCTATCAAAATATCCTTTTTGTAAAGAAAATAACCAAAGATAGTATATTGTGATATGCATCAAATTGAATCGTATCGTTCCAAACTATCGCGATGTGTATCATATCATGAAATTTTCGTCACACTCTAAATTCCAATATGGCTGCCAGAAATAACGTCAGGGTTTAAACTGTTTATTGTATTTCCAGACCCAAACTTCATGAAACTGGTCCGATTGTATGCATTCTGCAATAAAGTTATGTTTATAACCCCAATGATTAACTCTTTCAACACCAGTCAACCAGAGGCATTTACTGCCATGACACCGAGTTCCCAGAGACTCTGAGGTCATAGATGAAGCCTATGTTTGTGAAGGAAATTATAAGCTTGTAAAACGTTATTGCTACTACATCCCATACACCATTTAAAAGATCTAAACCTACTGTTGATAAATATGAAGTTTATTTTTATAATATTATTCAAATAATACAACTACAACTTAAATAAATTTATATTTGAATGAAAATGCAAGCTTACATTTGTAACGCCCAGATAAACCACTTAAAGGAGCAAAACTATGGCATTTTTTTTCCATTTGTGACATGTCATAAGTTGCCCGTCTCTTTATATTTTCATTTTTACGTAATCAGAAAATTATTATAAAAAGATTTCTTAAACAATATGTATGGTAGCAGCCTATTTCCGATATCTGCGGCTTTCCGCCGGTAAAATGACATAACAACTGAAAATACCTCCGCAAGCTTCAGTTATGAATAACATGCGGCAAATCGCTTTTGATGGCGGGCATCGCTCGAAAAGCTTTGAACATCAACAATATCACTGTACCCTTGCCAAGAGTATTTTCACAGTTGTAAGAAGCGATTTTATTGGATAAAGATTGGTTTCTAATGACGCTTTTCGCCACAGTCTGCTATAAGGGTTGTGATTGGTCAAAATCAGACACGCGGACCTAAGGCAGCCAATCATATTACGGCAATGGATACCCGCCCTCGTAGAACTTAAATCTTTTAGATTTGGACAAAAGTTTTGGGTAAAATAATGCTATTCTGAACATATTAAGCAAGAAATCGCTACCAATACGTAAATTATGGAACTTATTGGACGATCGCGCTAGGTTATGACCTGTGACAAAAATGCTTCATGTATGTATTTTCAAGATTAAACATCGTGGTCCGAAATGTTGAAGATTGAGGCGGCGAGAGCGAGATGTCACTTGTCAGTGACTTGACTTGCATTACATGATCGCACAAAAAGATGGAAATAGTAATTTTATATGTAAGTGCTTGACAACTTTTATGAATGCTGTTGTTGATTTTATTCATTAGTTTATTCAATTTATTTAATAATTTCCTCAAACATCGCTATTTTGCTTTTTGACAATGTTATTGTGGACCGCCGTCAAGCATGTGTCGAGAATCGTTGTTTTCAATAATATTGCGAAAAATAGTTTATAATTTTAATTCTGCTGATAATATATGATAAATTGAAATTTAATAAGTGTTTTCAGACATTGTGAAATGTGATAGATTTGATATATGAATCAAAAGTCAGGTAGGTTCCTAAAATTATGTCTCATTTTGACGTGATTCACTGCCTGGTCGATTAATGGCTTAAAGAGGTCAATAGATATCTCATATGATCGCAGAATATACACATATTATATTCACAAACTTCTACATCCCCTTTTGATAAGTGGGCTAATGAGTGAATGTTGCCATATGACACAATGGGCAGTATTTAGCCGTATCACAGCGGTCTGTAATTTGTCCAGTCTGGACCAGACAAACCCATGACTGAAACCAAGAATAATGACCCATGACATTGGGTAAAGTGGAACGTAATCTAAAACTCATTGAATTTTTATGAAAATAATTACCTGTAGTCTGACATTGTGTCTTGAGTAAAACAAAAACTTACTTTTGGCATTTCTGTAGAGCAGGAAGGGGTCCTGGACCTGGAACTCCAAGTCCTTGGTGATTGGCTCGATGAGGTTGTTGAGACCCAGTCGATTCAGGATCATGAATCCTTGAAGCGGGGTGGCAGACCTGTCACATAATGAAAGAGGAATAAAAAGTAGTCACACCCAGAGACTTGTCAAGCAATCTGGAACACTTGGCAGCAATGTACGCCAACAACCGGTAATTAGTTCTGTCTGTCAGCGGAGGCACCTTGGCATGGTGAGAGAAGGAAAAGAACATGTTCGGTTGGGAATTAGCCTTGAAGTAAGACATATTGATGAAATAGATTCTCTGCTGAAGAATGTTGATTTATTCTAAATGTACACTTGTATTTGAGCCGAAGGTTAACAAATCAATGATGCAAGCCGTGGCAATATTTCACAGGAAGACGGCTATCTTGATGTGTCTTACTGAAATTCTTCAATAAACTAGGCAGATGTCCTACAAGTATTGCTGAAGGATAGCCTATATGGGCTGAGACAGGATTCCATGAACCAACTGTAAATATATTTATCAAGGAAAGAATATATTAAACAGACAGGATATCTTATCCAAGAGGCCCAGTTTGGAAACTCTGAATTGACAACATCACCCAAATCACTGATATACAACTACACACAATGCCAGTCAGGGTTATACCCTGACTTTCAAAAGTGGGGGTCCCAAGGATCCCAAAAATATTTTGTAGGATTGTTGTAGGCAATATGGATGTCTGCAAAGTAATGAGTCTGTATGTTCAGATAATTACTTTACAGCCTGGAATGAGGCAATGATCAGTGGACACTGGTCATGACTGATGAATGAAATATTTACAGACAGCTGCTCTTAATGCACTGTGGGTACAATGAACAGTATTCTGCATCTGTTAGCACACAGTATGTTTTTCTGCATCCATTCTCTACATTCGTGCATACTGGACACATGTTTGTACATCACATAAAAGCCTGGTATTTATTACACAGATCATTCACATTTTACTGGGTCGGCCACAAACGTTCTTAAAGAAAGTTTGACTTAAGAGTTTTATTTCAAGCAGGCAAACCTTGTGCCAACTAGGTGAAGCCAGGAACTGATATAGTGTTAGACTTGCAGGCAGCCATTTATCACACTGGCATCCAATGTTTCACCAGAACTACCTTTTCAAAGTTTCTTGTAGTCAATAAGGAATATACAGACCCCACTAGTCAAATCATACTTGTCAACTGTTAATTTCAGACTAGTAATTCATGTAACACAGATTTTAGGTTACATCAACTTGTCCCATAAGATTTTCACTTGTCTCAGACTGACAAGTAGCCGTGTTAATCCCTGTACATTGTATTGTTCGGGTAGTGAGTGAGTGAGTGAGTAGGGTTGTAACAGGGTTTTACATGGGTACTAATAATTAGTGCTGGTATTGGCATACAACCTACGATACGATATATATCACGATACTAAAATTTTAGTCATGACGATATATTGCCAAAGTATTGTGCACTGAAGCTGCGATACGATACGAATCCTGATATAAAGGTGGCGATTCGATACGTATCATGATACTAAAACTTTTAATTCTAACACCAACTATAAAACACCTTTAGATCAAAATAAAACCAATTTTAAAGTATTTCGTCAAATTCCACCAACGTTGTTCAATGTTCATTCGGAAACAAGATCATTAAGTTTATACGCAGACTTTGTGAATGTTAATAACATATGAGCAATAAGTCTGACACAGTTCCTGATGCAAGAATTTCTGAGAAAACATTTACTTATGAAGGGAAAATAAGTAAGCATATTTTTTATAATCATCAAACAGCAGTAAGTCTTTGCTCTTGACAGATATCGCGATTCGGCAATATTCAAAGTCAAACATCGATGTATCGTGGCCCATTTGATGTATCGTATCGGGATATATGACAATGAAAAACTTTGTATCGATTCACTCTATCGGCAGCCCATGGATCGATGCATCGATGTGTATTGATGAATCGTCACACCACTAATAATAATTAGTGGTCCCTGGGACTCCCTAGTTTTTGGAAGTCGATGTAAAACCGTGGTTGTACGTAATTTTAAGCAATGTTACAGCCAGGACACCATGGGCTCTCAGTGTTCACGAATGGTGTTTCAAAGCAACAGGACATTGGGTCCTGTAGGTTTCAGATGTCTGTCTCACCCATTGAAAATTCACAGGACCCATGGAATAAAATTATACACACATTTCAGATTGAACATTTCTTATAACTGGCATTGAAACAGCATTTATGAACAGCAAACAAGTGTCACATGTCACATATAACAAATTAAGTCAAAGTCATTGTGAAATATGCAGTCAGACACTGGGGCCGGCAGGTTGTAGACTTCTATCGGACCGTTAGCGAATCTGCGGATTTGTCAGAGGGTCAGACCTAGCGTCTGACCCTCTGACAAATCGGCAGATTCGCTACACTGGGCTCTACATTGTACCTGTATTGAAGAGAATTGAGCCTGAGCCTATGGGGTTGACAAGGGATTATTTACCACAAATATAAGGGGTTCTGGGGTACTCTGGTCCCTTCAACAAACTAGACTGATGGAAAATATTTTCATCGGCCATTACATATTAAGGTTCTCATGTGACAATTTTGCTATTTATCTCAGGATTTGAGCATTATGTTTTCATTTTGGTGTAGCTATACTGCAGATAATATGATGATCATTTTTCAAAGAACATTCCACTGGAATAAAAGCCAACACAACAATCAAATCTCACTATAATCATGACATCCTTTTACAGAAACACCCCCTTCTATATCTGAGGTTCTGACTCTAGATGGAATAAATACCAAATGCTGTAACACAACAATCAAATCTCACTATAATCATGACATCCTTTTCCTTTTACAGAAACACCCCCTTCTATATCTGAGGCTCTGACTCTACATGGAATGAATACCCCAGACAGTGGAGAACAGAGAGTGCAATGTTCTGGGAGACAGAGCCTTAACAACAGACAGGTGTGCGCTGTGTAGCCCACTGGCCTGCGTGACTAACTGATCTGCCAGGCACGTGTACCCGCTTGCTCACACACGTAATACAGGATTATGGATGCTGACAGAGATGGAATAAGGTGGTGTGTACAGATAAATATCATATGTGGCCACTGCTAGTTATTAGCCTGTAATGTGGAGAGGCTCTGCAACTTGTTGGAGAGAAGATCAAGTGTTCGGTGCTCTCTTCACCTCCTTATACCGGCAAGTGATCATCAAACTACAGTCAAACATCAGCAAAGGAGTGAGTGAGTGAGTGAGTGAGTGAGTGAGTGAGTGAGTGAGTGAGTGAGTGCGAGCGAGCAAGCAAGCTAACCATAGCCCCTGACCAACAGGTCCTTCCTATTCAGTTTTCTTATTCAGATTATCCCTATCAGAAGTTAAGAATTGTATTAACCAACACCACCTTCCTATTCAGTTTTCCCATTCCCTGTGTATATCAGCCCTACACCACCAGCAAGTGATACCACACTTCTCCCTACATCCAGCTCTAACCCAGAACCGTGGTACCACCAGCAGGCTGATATGGTGTCCTGTAGTACAGGAATTGGCAACCCTCACCACCACAGTCTTGGCTGGATTATACATCGGTTGCAGCATCCCACATGGGACATGCGTGCATCACAACGTTACCTTGTGCAAAATGTCAGGTCAGGTCTCACTACGTCAAATCGGAGCACAGAGCAGCACAGAGCAGTCAGAAACGTACCACCTGGCATTGCAGTGTTCAAAAAAACATCCTCTTCCTATCCAATCTCTTGGGTCAGTTTGAAACAGTGATGGTAGTTTTTATGTCTGGATATTCGTATACAGGTGCTGATAATGCTTGACTTTGACCATTGTAGGACCCTCTTGTTGCATGGGAGATGTGTGGTTACATGCAGATGCTGTTATCATGAATATCATATGTTCATATGGTGTGGGTGTGGAATACACAGTTGAGAACATGCAAAGAATATGCAAATTAGAGATATTAAAATATTGAAATATGTTATTGATAAACACATAAAGTAAGTGTCTTCTTTTTGTTGGTGCATCAACCATCTGAACTTGATTAAGTACTTCACACTGGTTGTTTTTTGGGGGTTTTTGGGGGGGGTTGCTGTTTATAAGACTCAGATGCCAACATCAACAAAGAAACTAAATTAATGTGTTGAAACATCAAAGTTCAAAGTTGCAATACATTCTTGAGACAAGCATTGCTGCACCTACTTGAACTACAAAAAGAAAAGAGAAAAAACTTGAGTTTTCTGAAATCATTCTGGAAAGAGCATGTATGTCTAAAAGTAAATTCTGCTGCACACTGATAGCTTTAAGCAGCTGTATGATGGCCTTTGCCATGACAAGCGATTGCTTTAACCACATGGCTACCACAGTCCCTCAAAACTCATGAGACCGAATTGACTCTGTCTGATGTAATAATATGGTCTGTTAATACTAATAGTAGCTAAACTGACCAGATTAAGAGATTTGTACTAAAAATAGGCTTCAGACAGGTGGTTGATTTCTTTATTGCTGATTAGGGGCGGTGGGGTAGCCTAATCGTAACTGCATCCGCTTGTCACGCTGTTCGATTTCCCACATAGGTACCATGTGTGAGGCCATTTCTGGTGTCCTCCACCATGATATTGCTGGAATATTGCTAAAAATGGCATAAAACGATATTCACTCACTCGCTCATTATTACTGATTACAATCTCAAATACTCTAAATTCAGTGACAAAGAAGTCTGTATCTGCCAATTTGGTGAAAATTGAGATAAGAGGCCTTGACTAAGGATGGAGGTATCTGTTTCTGATGGGAAAGTTTTTTCTGAAACACATCTGACATGTCATCATTATTTCAGTCTAACCCTTCCCATACAAGCATATTAGGTTAGTGTGCTGTAACCCTACCCCTGCCGAGCTGGAAGCAGGTGTCCAACACATCCACCACCGTTGGCGCCAGTGGCGAACCCATCCAACACCACTGGTGCCAATGTTCGTAGCGGTCGCTATACAGAAAGACAAAGCTGTTTGATGAAGAACAGGTTGTTGCTTTAAAAAGAATTACCTTTCCCTTCACACAATAAGGGCCAGTAGCTCTTGACAAAATCTTGGTCAGATCTCATTTAATCTACTGCATGTCCAATTTCCAGTCAATTGACTGACAAACTGCAGCCAAGCTTGAAGAACATCAGAGATACCAGTGCAGGTGCTGGTGTGTACATGCTGCTCCGATGATGTTATGGCCAGACGATTGGGATCTGTTTTCAAATATGCCACAAACATTTAAGAGTAATTATGTATTGAATGTGTCTTGGGAGCTTTGCCATGGGCAGATTCCTAAACTAATTCAATTTACACTTGCATACGTGTAAATTACACCTGATTCTTTTTTTGAATTACACAAACTAACATCTCTGTAGATCCATCGTTTCATCTCCATCGGAATTAAGCTGTCACAGATGATATGACCATGAAGTAATGGCACAGATCTCAGATGTTTTAGTTCACAAGTTGGATAAACATTTACAACAACGATCTTGAAGTTCTCCAATGATATTAACCATGTAAGTGACAAGCTCCGACCTCATATTTACGTCATTCAAAGTGTACCTCAGAACAAGACCATTATCATTTTTTATCTCGAGGTGGTCAGGTAAAGAGGAGTTGGGCAGATACTCCGATTCCACAAGATCACTGTTAAAAACTTACAAAGATACGTAGAGTATGACTTATCAATTGATTTGACCAATAAAGATAAAGACTTGAACACAAAATTGCAGATATTTATATATTCCCAGACCATCACACCAAACAATTGCCCCAAACATTGTCATTTTATATATGTTGTGGAAAGAATTGTGACAATTGTCAAGATTTACTGAACTGTCAGAACACATTTGCAAAATATTGTATTTATTTGTTCAAAGGGAACCTCAGAACAACAAGACCATTGTAATTGTGTTCTAGCAGTGGTCAGGTAAAGTTGGGTAGATGCTCTGATTTAACAACATCACGTTTAATTACAAAGACACACAAATTATGACTTCTCAATTGATTTGACAGATAAAGGTACAGATACAGATATGTTGTGGAAAGAATTGTGACAATTGTCAGAACACATCTGCAAAATATTTGGTGTGTTTCACTGCTATCAATTAACAAGACGTGGTTCACAGGACTCATAATGGCTTCCTAATCATCCATCTGTAGGACTGGTTGCAGTTTACTCGGCATATTCTCGACCTTTTTTCACTCGTTACTTCTGTGTAAGTATGCGTATACCAGCAGTTAGACAACCCAGCAGTACAGAAATATGTAGATCTACAGATGGTGAAGACTGACAAAGCAAACCTATATGCTCATGTAAAATAGTCTGTTTCAAAGAACATCAGCATCTGACTAAGCCCTGCTCCTTGGCTGCACAGCAATAAACTGGGATCAACATGGTGTAGAACTAGTAGAAACAAAGCAGGGAAAAGCAGAACCTTCTGATACAGGCAGTGCTAATGCTAACAGAAAGAAGAAGGGATTTATCTGTGATTCAAACAAAGGGCCATACTCTCAGTTCACCTGATGAAGTATCATTGAAATGTTTTGTATATAAGTAAAGCGTTCCAAAATATACCTTGTCATATACATTTTCATGGTTTTATTGATAACAATAAAATGTTAAGACAATCAATAATTTCTTATTAAACTTTGGCAGACTGACACTAACATTAACATTGCTGCCACCTTCATGTGACCACATCAGTAATTTTCCATTAACCACAAGATCAACTTTTACAGAAGGGCAGTAACTTTTAACCATACACTAAAAATAACCATCAACATTTAATTTTAAGTAAAATAGATCCCATCAATGATTTACGCCGATACATTTTTATCTACTCAAAGTCTTGATAGTAAAATTATCAAGGCCTTGAAGCTATTGTGGGTGATTTTCAAGGCTTTAGATGACACTCAGTCAAAATGATCATTTGATGGCACCTTCAAATTCAAGGCTCTTTCAAGCCTGTTTGAACACTGATGTAAACTTGGTCCATTTTGGAAGGTCCAAAATCAGATGTAGTGATCACACGTCTAGTTCCTACAGCGACTTTGAAATGTTGAATTTAAGGCAATTAACTAGACGAAACACAAGCAATATTTTCCAATATCTCTGGTATTATACAGCAATGGATGGTTAATCACTGGTGCAACTGACACCGAACATATTCCAGATGGTTCTGATCAATCATATACTCACTCTGGGTTATACAGAAGTACACCATTATATATGTGCCAGGAAAGTAGCACCGAGTCGCCAATATATCTCATAACACCATGGCATAAGAATCATGTATCACCCAAGGTGGGTTTGATAAAGAAAATACAGAACCATGGGGTCTGCAGCTCACCTTCCTCAAACTGTACTTGTTTACCAAGGATTCGAGAATACTGAGCATAAACTATTTCCAGCATATACCATAGGTATAAATATATTCTAGCCATATAGTAAGAATTGAAATATATTGCAATTTGGCTTGTAAATTATACATGTACTATGGATTTACAGAGCATCTTGTGACATGCTGGCTAAATGAAGCTATACATGCAAATGACAGGCATAAGAAATCTTCTGATTTCATTTAATTCCGAACTATGTAAAGTCCTTTAAAGCACTCCTAAATCATGAGATCTTCTCCTTCAATGATAATCGCACCAAATCCTTCTTCCCTAACCAGAAGGTCTGAGAATAGTCAGTCTTAATCATCTGCTGCAACAGATTCAGATGGCAAATAAAAAGCAAATTATTTGTGAAAATTAATTGAATGGATCACTTAAAAGTAGTGATGGCATGTTTTTTGAAAAGTGTCAGAATGTCCTGTTCTACATGTTGCATTCGTAATCCTCACAATTCGGGTAAAAAAGTAAGTGTTTTGTTTTACTTAATGCCACACAACAGTAACACTTCATATATCATATGTGATCTCAATCTTCACATTTCAAAGAGTTTTCAAAATATTTCAATTAACGCACAACAGAAAATCTCTGCCAATAGTCACTCAGTCATGACAAGTGAACATCGACAACTGTGTTTAAAGCCACATTTTTACAAAGGAAACTGGCCAACAGCAATTTGTTTTAAAGAGGTCATTACAAAGGCATGAACTTCCAACAAAGAACACAGCCTGGAGATGACTTGACCTGCACTTCCTTGATGAAGGAATGCCTTGAGGAGCAGCACTCCTCCACAGGAAGCAGAGGTCGGCCATGTTGTTGTAGCTGTCCGGGTCCCATCAATCAACACTGCCCGTCTCTGGATGCATGTTTCCTGCACAACACCAGCATATGAAAACACCTGGATACTTCCTGCCCTCCACTAATGGTCATCCGTCTTCATACGCCACCACTGGCCATAAACTTCCTGCCCATGTTGTAAATGTCATGGCTGCTCCTTGTATGCATACTTCAACAGTTGCTAGATCATGTTCTGAACAGTTTGTGGGCACTTGGCCTTTAATGTTTGCAACTGGTCACTTCAATCCTGAGAGGCCTTGCTAAACTGATTGTATATCCTCTGCCATATTGACCTATGGTGTACATGATATTCCTTCCACTGTACACTCAGGGTATAGTGGCACATGTAAAGTCACTTGCCCTGATATTTTTTCCAGTATACCGACCGTTTTCTTGCCGATTTTTTAAATAAATAACATAATTTACATTGGAAAGTCAACTGGACACCAGTACAGTGTGATATACAAATTTGCTTGCCCGAGAAAAAAACCCCACTGGACTCGGACGTCGGGCAATGGGTTATTTCCACCCCTGACACTAACGCTTAGTCTCAGAGTATATAAGTTTGATAAAAACAAACAATTCCTTATAAGGGGGTTAGCATTGCAGAAAGGGCCCTCCGGATGTAAAAATAATGAGGTTCCTGGACTGTGAGACAGACTACTCCCACTGTAAAATGGGTGTTTTTTGAATAAACAAAGTTGAATTATTTCTATGAACTTTGTCTCCACTAATCATCAGATTCGCCATGCTC